CTGGAATAAAGGAACAAAGTCCAGAGTTGTATCCCGTAATGATCCTCTCTTCAGCACAGAAAACAGAGAAATGCGTTTTCAGGGGGTCTCATCTGATGTAAAGGCCAAGGTGATGCACAGTGAGAGTCCTAATGGCAGGCACTGGCAGCTGTGTCCTCCAAGGACAGCGCACAGAGGTGAAGGGGAAAAGTCCCAGCTCATTTTTTAATCTTTACATTTTTTATTTAAATATTTATTTTACATCTCGATCCTCCTTTCTTCCCTTCCCCCACCTCTGTTCTGCCCCCTCCCCCATTCACTCCTCCATTTCTCTTCAGAAAGGGGCAGGCCTCCCATGGATATCAACAAAACAAGGCGTATAAAGTTGCAGTAAGACTAAGCATCTCCCCTTGTATTAAGACTGGGCAAGGCGACCCAGTATGGAGGAACAGGGTCCGAAAGCCAGTAAAAGTCAGAGACAGTCCCTGCTCCCACTGTTGGGGTCCCACAAGAAGACCAAGCTACACAACTGTCCTATATATATTCAGAGGGCCTAGGTCAGTCTCAGGCTCCTTGGTTGTGTTGGTTCAGTCTCTGTGACCCCTATGAGCCCAGGATAGTTGATTCTGTGGGTTTTCTTGTCATGTCCTTCACCCCTCTGACTCCTAAAATCCTTCCTCCCTCTCTTCAGCAGGATTCCCTGAGCTTGGCCTAATGCTTGGCTGTGGGTCTCTGCATCTGTTTCCATCAGTGCCCAGCTCATTTTTTAAATGAATGACCACATGTACTTCAGAGCCTACCAAAGTAATTTTGCACCAGTTCATTAGGGAGATGGTGAAAGGAGAGGCAAATGACACGATTTGGATTATTAATACTGAATCCACAATTAATTCTCTGTGAGACATCACTTAAGTACACACGCCATGGCTTTCTCCTCTTTATACGGAAATGGGCCCTCACTCGTCTCAGAGAGTCACAAATGAAAGAGAAACGTCACCGCTTGACTGAGTATCTGCCAGGAAGAGGACCCAGAGACCCAGGAAGATCCACGAGTGTGAGACACAGCTCTTTGTCTCCAGGGGCAATGCTGAGCTTGTGCAGAAGCAGGTGTGGTTCAGCACGCAGGAGCAAGCTACAGTGTAGCAGACAGACAAGGTGGAAGGCCTCCTTCTCCAGCATGGCAGGCAGGAGAGACCACGGAGGGCAAGGGACAGCTTTGTGGGGCAGAGGAAGGCTGCCATGGGTCAGTGGGCAGCTCGTGGGAAGTCAGAGAAGGGAAAGGTGGGTCAGCTATGTGGAAAAGACCCAAAACTAGACTTGGAGGGTAGACGGATGGAGCTAAAGTCCAAAAAGGAACCTGGGACGGTGAAGGTGGTTTGTCTGTCTTTGTTTTAAGTTATTGTGCACCTCATTCCCAGATGAGGAGAAAATGAAGAGATGGGGTGGCAGTCAAAGCACCGGGTAATTGGCCAGTGGTTATGCAAAAGAGAGCCAGACACAAGGAAACCCACAAGAACACAAGGAACTCCATGCAAATACAAGTTTCCAGTCATAAAATAGCCCAGCAGAGTGACACCTGTCTGTAATTCCAACAGTTGGGAGACAGAGACAGGATGATCACAGAAAGTTCAGGGCCAGCCTGGGCTACAGAACAAGGTACAGACCACCAAGGCAAGAAAAGAGAAAAAATATACCCCAGTGGGTGGCACCATACCCATGAGAACATGGTCAGCACAAACTGGCACCAGTGGGCCATAAAAACAACAACCAAGAGAATGGAGTTGGGAGAGCATGGGAGTGGATCTGGGAGGAGTTAGTGGGGAAAGGGGGGTGCATATGATAAAAATATGTTGTATGCACGTATGACACTCTCAAAAAAGCAATGAAAGTGTTATACTTAAAATACATGGGAGTCCAGGACCTGCACGGGTCTGCAGCAGACGGAGTCCGAGAACTGAAAGGAGAAGTGGACACGTGCCCCATCCCTAACCCAGAAGCCATCTCCAGCTGATACCCACGGGCAAATGAAAGTTACTTGTCTCCAAGGGAGTCTCACCGGGCAGCAAACCACTCTTGGAGTAGGCCGCACGCCCAGGGTCTCTGCGTCTGTCTGTTTCTTGTGCCTTTTCTTGAGCTCTTTCTGTTTACTTGTACTGTCCTATTCCAGTGTGTTCGTTTCTGCTTTATATTAGCTGATTATTTTCCCTTATAAGCCTGTTCGTCTTCTAAAGAGGGACAGAAAGAGGGCAGACACAAACGGGAGGGACTGTTACAGGAGGAAAAAAATCTACTTTCAAGAAAAGAAATTTAATTAAAAAAAAAAACATATTGTAACCATTTTCTGCTTAATGCTCTCTCCTACCCTGAGGCTAAAACACAGCCTTCAAGCCCCTTTCTTCCTTCCCATTTCTGAAAGATACACACACACACACACACACACACACACGCGCGCGCACACGAGCCTACACGGTGAGGTCCTGTCTCAAGAAAGAAGAGAAGAGGCAAACAACACCAGAGGCTCCGCATCATCAGGGAGTGCACACGGGTGCTAAGAATCAGAACTTGGCGACTCTGACCACCGATGCTATCTGAAAACATTCTTAGCACCTATGCTTACATTCAAACATGTGTCAATTCCCCATGCAGAAAATACACAGTATATTTTAAAAGAATGGGTATTTCATCCTAACTTTATTCTATTTTGTTTTGTTTTGTTTGTTATTTCAAGACAGGGTTTTTCTATGTAGCACCACTGGCTGTCCTAGAACTCACAGAGATCCACCTGCCTCTGCCTCCCAAATGCTGGGATTAAAGGCACAGCCAGCCTTGGTTAGAACCTAATTCTAATAGTTCAAGTAAGCAATCCCAGTATTCAATAGGTAAAAGCAGGAAGATTGAGTTAGAATCCAGCCTGAGCTAAAGTCAGAGCTACACACACACACACACACACACACACACACACACACACACACACAGAGCCTGAATGAATGAATGAATGAATGAATGAATAGATGAAATGAGAAGACATATACCATACTCTAATCCTAAACTTATCATAAACAACAAAGAGAAAACAAGAGTCAGATCAGTTGCATGCAACTTGACTCACTGTCGCACTGACAGCTGGAGACACCAGTGTCCATCTGTGTAAAACACAAGGACCCGCTAGTGTGCAGGGTTACCTGTCACCAACCACATCTGTAACCCAGGGAATGAAAGCCTGAGCCATGGAAGTTCACACACATGTGCTATAGCAAAAGTTACCAGGAGTCGACCATAAATAACTGGGCCATCAATCCTAAGACTGGTGTTTTGTTTTTAAAACTCTGTCATACTACGGTTCAATCAGAAAAAGAAAAAAACAGTGACATGCCTTTAACATTATCAGTGAGGAAGGCAGTTCACAAACACAACTGACAGACTGCTGGCCTCTGTCACGAAAGAGTAATTAATTGGTGCCAGTCCACTGGCCTTGCCCTCCGTGGTACGGCCATCAGATCGGACAGCTCAGGAAGCAGCTGTCCCCCGGCTCTGACCGCAGGCACTGCAGGACTGGGAGCCCTGAGGGAAGGAAACTCAGGAGGTGCTCAGGACTCGCCTGGCTTTCTGCCCAGAGCCATTTCTGCCCGAGTAGAAGTACATTTCCCCTGCCCAAGGAAAAAAGATGTCCACTCTGAAACGGGAGGGGCACTGAAATTTATGGTCACAGCCACAGAGGCCAGGCCCAGGATTTTCTGCGAGGATTTAGCAAGGGGACTTTGCCAAAGCCTTCACTGTCTAGGGGCAGGCTGAGTGCCAGAGTGGAGTGTGAGGTCAGCATGGCAAGGAGACGCCAGAGTTCTGCCCAGACACAGCAAAGGGTTCTTCCTGACTGCCACAGCCATTCAACAACGATGCCAGGAAGGCCATGCACTGGTGATAAAGATCTGTCTACAGAGTCAGCCAGGCCCTTGGACTGAGTTCAGTATGGAAACCACTGCCCTACAGCCGAGATATACAAAGGCAGACAAAGTCAAGCTGGTAGGACCAGCCTCAGAAACAGAAACCAACACCGTGTAATCCAGACTTCTTACACTGCGTCACTCCCAACTCAACATGGTAGATCAATTACTACACAGGCCAAAAAAACAGTGACCCATAGTCACAGAAGGGGGGGGTGTCGACAGAAAGAGACACACATCCAGCTGGTGGAATTAGCAAAGCAATAAAGAACAATAAATAAATAGATAATTTTAGGAGAGAAGTGGACACCATCAAAAAGAAACAAGCAGAATTCTAGGCCTGAAAATGTGCAACATCTGAAATTATAAAAAAAAATTACTAATTAACATTAACAGTAGATCATTTCAACTGGTCCATTTCTAGAGTAACTAATGTTGTGGAGGGGCCACTGGGGCTCCAATCTAGAGTCTCCACATGCTAGGCAAGGTCTCTGTTGTTGACCTGCATTCCTAAACCTTCGTTTTCCTTTTTATTTTGAGACAAGATCTCACTAAGTTGCCAAGTCTGGCCTTGAACTTATGACCACTGCTTTGGCCTCCCAAGTACCTGATATTATAAGACAATGTTCTTATTTCTGTAGTGTACAATATGAATAACAAACAAGGAGCTGGGCGAGGGGAACGAGAGTGAAAGACAACTGTAGAGTGCTGTGGGAGACTATCATGCAGTCTAGTCAGAATCCTGAAGAACAGGTAAAAAAAAAAAACCTCTATCTGCAGGAAGAGTAACAGGGAGGAGCCAGGCCATGGCTCAGTGAAACAGCACTTTCCTGTCACGGTCGGGGCTTGGATTTGATCTCAGCACTGGGAAGGAAGGGAGGATGGAGGGAGGGAGAGAGGAAGGGAAAAGAAAGACTAGAATCCGCAATTCGTGAGGAAATGTTACTCTGCATACCCAAGAATCTTAGGGAAAATCAAGAGCAAAAGTGGACAGACTAAGCTCAGACACTCCATGGTCATCCCGATAAAAAGTGGCTCAGTGGCTCTTCATTACCCAATCACAGCAGTCTACTCCACACA